CAGTAAGGATTTGGCTGAGAAAGCAGGCTGTTGGAATTCCAGTCATTCCTATTAAAGTCCATACATGGACTCATTTTAACGGTTGCTCTGAGCTCCAGTATTGGGGTAGTAGCTCAAAAAGCATCAAGGCCATACAGGAAGAAACTGATTGTCTGGTATCAGAGTGAGAGCTTAAGGGTGGTTTTCTCTTGGACAGTGCTGCCAGAGGCTATTGTGTGTGTGTGTGTGTGTGTGTGTGTGTGTGTGTGTGTGTGTGTTTTGAGCCCTTCTCCCATGGAGCCAGTGGGCTGGTGCCATATCTGTCTCCATCAACCTGAATATCACTGTTCACCCTACTCTGGTATTACACTGAGACCCTTTCCTCCCCATCTTGGCGGACCTATTCAAGCTGTTTCCAATGGTTTTTCCCCCCATACAGATGGTCTGCCTTGGCTTATGCCCCAGACTTTCTAAAATATCTCAAACAAGCAGCATCTGGCTTCAGTATGCCCCATACCTCTTGCTAAGTGGCCCCCGGCCCAGCACTAGTGGTAGCCAGCCTTGGTTTGCAGCTTGACCTCTCCTGGGCACCTTTAAGCCCGCACAAGTAGAAGCCATCTGCAGATTGCTTTGTTGCTCATAATAGATGGCCCCAGGCAGAATACACATGATGACTAACCTTGGCCTGCACCTTCCAGAAGGCTCCAGAGCCTGTACACCCAGTGGACAGATTCAGACTATGCTGGAGCACCATTAAACCACCTTCATGAGTAACATACTCAAAGGGTGGACTCATCAGTTATCAGAGTAAAATCTTAGATATTTCTTGCAGCAATATTTTTTCTGATATATCTCATAGGGCAAGAGAAACAAAAGTAAAAACAAACAAACAAATGGGACTGCATCAAAACAACTTTTTTTTTCACAACAAGAGAAATCATGAACAAAATGAAAAGACAACCCACAGGAGTTAATATTTCAAAATTTATGAAGAACTCAATTCAACACCAAAAAATAAACAAAAACCCTCCAAAATAATCCAATTTCAAAACAGGCAAAGAACCTGACTAGACACTTCTCCAAAGAAGTTATACAGATGGCTAATATATATATGAAAAGATGCCAAATGTCACTATCAGATAAATGCAAATTAAAACCACAATTAGATATCACCTCACACCTCTCATAATGGCTATCATCAATAAATCTACAAATGACAAATGTTGGCAAGGATGTGGAGAAAAGAGAACCTAGTAAACTGTTGGCCATAATGCAAATTGGTACAGCCACTATGGAAAACAGTGTAGAGTTTCCTCAAAAACTTAAAAATATAACTGCCTCTTGACCCTGCTACTCTACTTATGATATTATATCCAAAGAAAATTGAAACACAGATTTGAAAGAATTTATGCACCCCTGTGTACATTGCAGTTCAATTTATTGATAGAATAGCCAAGATTGGAAGGAGCTCAAGTGCCCATCAGCAGATGAGTGGGAGAAAAACGTTGTGTTACATTTACACAATAGGAATACTACTCGGCCATAACAAAGAAGACAATCTTACCTTTCATAATAGCATGGATGGACCTAGAGAATATTATGCTGTGTGAGATAAGCCAGTTTGAAAAATACAAGTATCACATGATTTCATTTATATGTGGGATTTAATGAACAAAAATAAATTAACCATGTGGATACAGACTCATGGATACAGAGAACAGAATGGGTGAGAAAGTGAAGGGATTAAACAAAGAAAAAAAGAAAGACTCATGAACACAGACTACAGTATAGCGATTGCCAAAGGGAAGGAGGCATGGGGGAGGTAGAAGAAGGTAAAGAAGTATAAATGGTGATGGAAAAAGACGACTTGACTTGGGGTGGTAAACACAATAGAATCTTCAGATGATGTATTATAGAATTGTATACCTGAAACTTGTATAATTTTATTAACCGATTTCACCCAATAAATTCAGTTAAAACAACAACAACGAGATACTATTGCACCTATTAGAATGACCAAAATCCAGAACACTGACAACACTTAATGCTGGGGAGGATCTGAGTAAGAGGAACTCATTCATTGCTGTTGGTAATGTAAAATGGTACAGCCACTTTGAAAGACAGCTTAGATGTTTTTGTGTTTGTTTTTTTCAGATTAGTCACTTTATTTTCTCTTTTCTGTGGGTGACAGAAGTATGTTGCCATTCTAAAACAATAGATTTTAGTAATAACATTTTTATTTACATATTTTTCATCTACCAAATTTCTCAAAGATATCCAATATATATCCTATCTTATTTTTAAAAAAATATTTATTTTAGAGAATGGAAGGGAGAAGGAGAGATAGAAATGCCACTAAGAAACATGCACATTCCATACTGGGGATTGAGCCTGCAACCTGGGCATATGACCTGACTGAAAAATCCATCCAGTGACTCTCTGGTTCATGGAATGATGTTCAGCTAATTGAGCCAAACTGGTCACACCATTCTATCACATTTTAAACGTTATTTTCCCAACATTCTTCATGGAAGCTAAATAATAGATTTCATTAACCCCGTTTTACAAATAATGAAATCTTATAAAGTGTAACATACTGAATGTTAAAGAGAGTATGTTTTCATGAAGGGAAAATGTCTTAAAACTTCAACATTTCTCAATATTACTGTCTGTTACTCTTCTAGAAGTTCTTTTTTTTTTAAACTAAACATTCTCTTACCATATCATCTAGCAATTATATTTCTTGCTCTTTACCCACATGACTTGAAAACATGTCCACACAAAAACCTGCACATGAATGTTTTTATAGCAGCTCTATTCATAATTGTCAAAACTTGAATGCAGCCAAGATGAATGAATAAAAGAACTGTGGTACTTCCATGCCAGTGTTATTCAGTGCCATTAAGAAATGAATAATCAAGCTTTGGAAAAACTTGGAGAAATCATAAGACATATTACTAAGTGAAAAAAGACAATCTGAAAAGGCTATATACTGTGTGATAATGAGTTTCTGGAGAAGCAAAACTGTGGGGGCAGTAAAAGAATTGGTGGCAGAGATTTGGGGGAAGGGAAGGAATTTTAGGACAATGACATTGTCCTATATGCTATTATAAGAATAGATACATGTCATTATAGATTTCTCAAAATCTATAGAATGTACAACACCAGGTGTAAACTATGAGCTTTGGTTGACAACAATATGTCAATGTTGGTTTATCAACTGTAACAAATGTACAAATATTGGAGGGGGGAGGTAGGTGAGTAGATGCTCTGGAAAAGACAGAATATATGAGAGCTTTCTGTACTTTTCACTCAGATCTTCTGTGAACCTATAACTAATCTAAAAACAAGTCAATTAATTAAAAAAATAGAATTTATAACACAAAGAGTATGCCCTAATGTAAACTATAGACTTAAGTTAATAATAAAAATATAGCCTGACTGGCATGGCTCATTGGTTGAGCATCAACTTATGAACCAGAAGGTCACAGTTTGATTCCCAGTCAGGGCACATGGCCCAGTTGCAGGCTTGATCCCCAGTAGGGGTTGTACAGGAGGCAGCGATCAATGATTCTTTCTCATCATTGATGTTTCTATCTTTCTCTCCCTTCTTCTCTGAAATCAATTAAAAAAATTTTTTTTAAGTCGCCGTATGATCAGAGGTAGTGAATACAGATTCTGGACCAGAAGTTCTGCCTCCAGGGTTTTTGTGGAGGAGCAGATGATGGAGGAGGGTCTGGGGAGATGCCTTCTGTGTCCAGGGATGTCTCTTTGTCCTGTCTGGGCTGTAAGTTTCCTGATCACTGCCCTTGTTCTTTTGGGTTGGACTTTTCATTTCAGACAGAACTCTTCCTGGCTTTATCCAAGATGTCTTAATGGCCTCTGAGGTTTTGCAGCCACTTATGAAAGTTTATAGGTTTCCTTGGTGAGAACTTAATAAAGCTTGGTTATTATTAATCATGTATGAGTATTTGAAATATGGGAATTACTGCCTTAAAACCTTTAAATTCACAGAAATTTGGTGGAGATTTACTTGGTATTTAAGTGAACTTGTCTAAAATTTTACGTCTATATAAATTGAAGGAACTAGGTAAATACTAAAATGATAAATTTGTTAATTTAATATTCTAACAAGTTTTCATATTAATTCAGTTACTTTGTTATAGAAATGGTTTGTAAATTCTGCAACCTAAGCGACTGTCCGACCGTTCAACCAACTGGTAGCTATAATGCACACTAACTACCGGGGGCAGACACTCAATGCAGGAGCTGCTGAGCTGCAGTGACTTGGCAGCTGCAGTTCTCTGGTGATACACCCGGAACCAGAGAGGTAGGAGCCTGATTCCAGGGTGTGTTACCCCAGAACCACCCTCTCACAATCGGGGACCCCTTGGGGGATGTCAGAGAGCCAGTTTTGGCCTAATCCCTGCAGGTCAAGCTGAGGGACTTCACAGATGCACAAATCCGTGCTCTGGTCTTCTAATGGTAAATATAAAGTACATTCCCCTGTTAAACCACTTCTTCTGTAATATAAATAAGGACACTGAGTTCCTTATTTTCTTAAATATATAGCTATTTGTTTTTCCACTTAAAAAACATAATTTACTTTTTAGCTTCCTAGGCAGTAGAATTAAGGAAAGAACTCTAGTTTGAAAAACATTTAAGTTTATTTAGTCCCAAATGAATTAAATAGCATACAATCTTATTGTTTGCAATTGATAGTCCATTACAACACAAAAATCTTTAAAAATGTTGTTGAAAAGTTCCAAGTTTTGTGACTCTTTCAATATCTGGTATGAGTTAATATAAAAAAAAAATTTTTAGTCTGCCGAGATCGGTTTGACTCAGTGGATAGAGTGTCAGCCTGCGGACTGAAAGTCCTAGGTTCGATTGCAGTCAAGGGCATGTACCCCAGTAGGGGGTGTGCAAGAGGCAGCTGATCCATGATTCTCTCTCATTGATGTTTCTAACTCTCTATCCCTCTCTTCCTCTGTAAAAAAATCAATAAAATCTATTTAAAAAATATTTGTCTATTTTATGGACCTGTTAGTCATTATGTACACTGAATTGTTTTTAATTTTGCTATTAAAATAATTTGTTTAATATTAAGTAATGAAAGAAAATTTGGATATTAAATCTTGAGGAAAAGGGTGACAGATCATAAGTTATCAAATACAAGTTTCAAAAATAGACATCCATTCTTACTAATGTAAGACATAGAGTTTTACTATCTAGTTAAAACATTTTTAAGTTGAGTTATTTGTGTGTGGTTGAAATGATAAAGATTTTTTTTGCCATTTTAAGTTATCAGCATTAAATAAGCAATTAACAAAATTCCATTTATAAAAAAGACAAAATACTTTTTAGCATGAAAATATTTATTAACAGAAACTACAATAATGCAAAGAATATTTTCTTACATAATTAAATTTCCAAACACTAATAATGATTTCTCATATTCTAATCATCAGTGGGATAACAGAGGCATTAGTGAATGTCATTGCAAATACATGTGAACATTACATGAAATGCACCATTAGTTTCATCTCAGCAGAAGACAGCCACCTCTTTTTTGGTACAGCCTATATAACAACACTTATTAGATAATAGGTAAGGGGCCTCTCTCTTTTTTAGGAAATGTTTAACTAAGCGTATGTTTTTTAATTCTGAAAGACTTTTGTTTTCTACTTCACTTTGTCTTTGGAGACCATTTTTCTTAAATTCTTCAAAGGTAGTATGTATATCCTTTGGTGAAGCTTGTTGTAGTAGTTCTTTCAATAATGTCTGCCTCTTGGCCAGTGTTGTCTTCAGTTCCTGTTGAGAAGTAGGAATGAATTCCATCCTCATATTTAAGGGTCCTGCATTCTTAGTGGTGGAAAATTGCATGATTTCTAAGTTTAAAAAAGAGGGGGAGAAGAAAAAAAATACTCATGTCAATGAACATCAGGAAAACTAAAAATTTGCATAGATATAAAGGAAAGCATTGCCTCAATAAAATTAAATATCAAAATAATCAGCAAGTATCCTGATATGTAAACAATTTAGTTCATATAGTTGGGCAGTATAAAATACTACAAATTTACCAAGGTTATAATGCTTTATTCTACTTGGACCATCTGTTACTTCTCCTTATGTCCCCTTAATGCTTTCATCAAAGGCCTTCACCTGTCCCTGACATAGCTGAAGTCATCTTGGTCATTAAAAACACTCAGTTTGACCACATATAATTTTCTTCCATTGCTAAGTAACCACTGAGCTATAATAACCCTTCAAGAGTATATTAGTTATTTTAAACTATCAAATATTCTATGGTGAAAAATTACTGCTTTAAGATAAAGTTAAAAAGGCAGAATTTTCAACTGTTCCAATCTCTTAGGGAGGTGAAACCAGTTCTTGACACATCTACTATTTAACAATTTCTCTTCTTCAGAATATTTACTCCAAATTGTAGCTGATCCCCTTGTGATTTTAATGCCCTTAGTATTTTTTACTAGAATTCAATAATTTAATTCTTAACCAGGTCTTTGTTCACATGTTAAGCACTTTTCCTACTCAATTCTCTTGTTCTCACAAATGGACTCAAGTTGCTGATGTACTGTCTCTTTGTCAAGCAGGAAATAACTACAGAGTCACGAGGAGAATTTTTGAGTTTTGCAGAAGGAAAGAATGTCTTCAAAGTAGCTGAGACCAGCTGTTGACACTCAGGAGTCTGAGATGGAAAAGCATCATCTGTGACTAAAGATAAACAGACTTCTCTCAGTTCCCTGGAACACTCCTTCTCTTATCCCCTAGTTACATAAAAACTCCCTATTTTTGCTTTTAGGAACAGATGGATTTATGAGATCTTGCTCTCCCATCCTGTCACCTCAGCCAAATTGAATACACCTTTATCTCCAAGAACCAGTGTCTCAATGTTTTGGCCTACTAGCATATTAATACACACACCTGAATTTTGAGCAGTGATTCTGCAACAAAATCATTTAGCTGTCTGAAGGGCAAACTTCTTTTGACTCTTGGTCCCTTGAAGTTTCTCCTGGAGTTGACAAGGCCCTTTTCTTTATCATCAATCCCTTCTCTCACAAATGAATTTTAAGGCCCTGTTCAAAACTATGGGTCCCTGGCTAGTGTGGCTCAGTTGATTGAGTGTCCATGCACCAAGAGTTTGCCAGCTCCATTCTTGGTCAGGACACTTGCCTGCCTTGGGGAAGGGCTCAATCCCCAGTAGGGGGTGTGCAGGAGGCAACCAATCAGTGTTTCTCTCACTGATTGATATTTCTCTAACTCATCAATGTTTCTCTTTCTCCCTTTCCCTTTAAAATATCAGTAAAAGCATGTAAATAAAAGAAGTGGGAAGCTAGGCTCTCCCTTTGGTGAAGTTTACAAAGAAAAATGCATAAAACAAAACAGGACGTTTTCAATGGCATGGGCCATGGCCCAGTATTTTATTTTTTATTTTTTTATTTTTTAACAGAGGAAGAGAGTTGTTACATCCAAGGCTTTCATGACCACCTTCCAGGACCCTATGGGAGGTCTCTTGAGTTGTGTTAGGTATGATAACTGGTTCATACCTAACTGCCCCCTATCCTGTCAAGATGCCCTGCCCAGTTGCCCCAGCCAGCAGCAATCCTGCACTCCAGGCCACAGACCTTGACTCTGGGTTCTAGCCCCAATTTTCCCTGCCTTTTACAGGTCTTTGGGCAGTGTTATCTCCTCTGTGGCTATCCCCTTCTCCCCACCGAGTCTCCCTGGCTGCCATGAGGTGAAGGGCATGCCTCTCAGATAAGACTGTTTACTGTTCCCATAGCTTTGCCTTGCTCTGCCAAGATCCCTGGTAAGACCCTTACTAGAAAAGCAAGTTATAAGGGAACAACTCAAATTTTTAGGCACCAGCAGCTCTCACCTGTAGATGGTCCAGATCTTGTCTTACGCTGCTTCCTCATGTCCTCTGCCCAGATGTGAGTGCCGCAAACACTGATGAAGAAACGGACTAATTCGAGGTTGCACTTAGTAAAAACTTCCATGTCCTGGCCTTGGACCTCCCTGGGAAGTTGGCTCAGTAGCAGCCAAATTCCTAGCAGGTAGAACAAGAATAGGCACAGCATCCTGGACCTTATCTCTCTTGTTCTGGGCATTTCAGTCTTTGTCTAGAGACTGCAGCTGCTGCCACCTACCAGCCTCTGCCAGTGTGCCAATCCTGGACTTCAGGATACTTTCCTTTGGTTCTACCAGGCTTTTATAGCTCTCAGTACCACTTAGACCTTGAGGCAACAGTCCAAGCTCCACCCCTGTCCCTACCCAGCTTCTTGTAATCCACTACCCCTACCCCTCATCCCCAGCTCAAATTTATCTTTCCAACCTTTCCTCCATTTGCCCATCTTTCTGTTCTTGACCCTCTTATAGTTTTATTTTTTACCCTCTTTCCTTATCCTCAAGCTATTTTGTATGCGTAAGTAAAGCTAGTCAATATTTGAAGTATTTCCTTTATTATAAAGGTAGTCTGGCCATTACACTAAATTTATCATAAAAAATAAAATAGAAATTGCCCAGTTGGTGTGGTTTAGTGGTTGAGTGTCAACCTATGAACCAGGAAGTCACGGTTCAATTCTGACCACCAGGGAGCAGACATTCCAACCAGTAGCCATGATGTGCATTGACCACCAGGGGGTAGACACTCAATGCAGGAGCTGCTGAGCTATGGTGACTTGGCAGCTGCATTTCTCAGGTGACATACCTGGAATCAGAGAAGAGGGAGGCTGATTCAGGGGTTCGTCACCCGAGAACTGCCCTCCCACAATCTGGGACCTCGTGGGATGTAGGAGAGCTGGTTTCAGCCCAATCCCTGCAGGCCAGGCTGAAGGACCCCACCAGTACACAAATCTGTGCATCAGGCCTCTAGTAAGTTAAGAAGCAAGGAATATGTACCTTAGTATGCAAAAATAGTATATAGACTGGCATATTTCTCTTTTGCTGTACTCAACATATAGGATCATAGTGAGCAAGGCGACAGGAAAGCTAAACCAGTCAAGCCTGATACTGTCTCCTCATAGCCATTCCACTCAGTTTGTATGATTTAGGCACCTGCCATTAGGGATGTGTATGATAGAAAGTTATAACTTGTTGAGAAGTATGTTTGATTCTAGAGGCCTAGTGTACAAAATTCGTGCATGGATAGGGTCCCTAGGCTGGCCTATGATCAGGGCTAACGGGGCCTTCTGGCTGCCGGCTGGAGCCTTCCCCACTGCTGGCTGCTACCAGGGGTGTACTTTCATTCTGTGCTGCCCTCTGGTGATCAGTGCACATCATAGCTAGCAATTTCACTCCTGGTCTCCTGGTCGAACTCTTGAGGGAACACTTTGCATATTATGCTTTTATAGTCTAATAAAGATGGAATATGCAAATTGACTGTAATTCCATGACAAAGATGGCAGCGACCACTGCCAATAAGGAGGGAATATGCAAATTGACACAACAAGACAAGAGGCAGAAGGCGGCTCCAGGCTGAAGTGAAGGCGGAAAGGCAACTCCTGGCTGTAGCGAATGCAGTGCTGGCAGCCAGGGGAAGGAAAGCCTATTCTTGCACGAATCTTTGTGCATCTGGCCTCTAGTATACAAATAATTTCCTTATCCATTCAGCTTATTCCCAGGCAACTACTCCCCCACTTAAGTCCACTGAATTAAGTTCTAGAGATATTTACTGGAAGTCCAGGAGTACAAAGTACTTTGCCATGATAAAAATAGGTCAGGGAGGGTAAGGAGCAAGAATTTGATGGTAGGTTTTGGGAATAATTCCATTGAATTTTTTACTTAATCCCCCCAAAATGATAAAATTGAAATTCCTGAATATACCAGTCTTCAGCATGAATGTGGTATGCAATACTTTAAATGTCTTGTAAAGAACTAATATAAGGAAGTGCTAATTAATATGGTGAAAAACAAATGTGTATTATGGAAAAGGAAATATGTTTTGTAACATAGGGGAGCATATATTCTTTCTGATTGGTATTTCAGGTTTCTTAGGTTAAATACTTAGAAGTGAGATCACTAGGTTAAATTGCAGTTCCATATTTAATTTTTTGAGGAAGCTCCATACTATTTTCCATAATGGTATAGCAGTCTGCATTCTCACCACCATTGTACTAGGGTTCCCTTTTATCTACACACTGGCCAGCACTTGTTGTTTATTGATTTGTTGATGGTAGCCATTCTGACAGGTCTGAGGTAATACCTCATTATCATTTTAATTTGCATCTCTCTGATGATCATTGACTTTGAGCATTTTTTCATATGTCTTTTGGCCATCTGTATGTCCATTTTGGAGAAGTGTCTAGGTTTTTTGCTCATTTTTAAATTGGATTGTTTGTCTTCCTTTTGTTAAGTTGTATGGGTTCCTTATATATTTTGAATATTAACCCTTTATCAGATGTGTCATGGCCAAGTATTTTCTCCCATACAGTGGGCTCCATCCAGTGAAGTCAGTAGGGTTTTAAAATCCCCCTACTCTGATTGTATTGCTATCAATCTTTCTTCAAGTCCTCTAGAAATTTTATTATATATTTAGGTGCTCCTATATTGGGAGCATATGTATTTACCAGGTTTATATTTGCTTGATGGAATGATCCCTTTAGTATTATATAGTGACCTTTATAGTCTCTTGTGATGGCTTTCATTTTGAAGTCTATTTTGTCAAATATGAGCATTGCTAACCCAGCTTCTTTTTTTTCTTTTTTTCTTTTTCATTTCCATCACCCCCCTACGCCCCTCGCTTTCAGCCTGCATGAGTCTTTTGTTATTAGGTAGGTCTCTGTAGAAAGTATATAAGTGGGTCATTTTTTAATATATATTCAGCTACCCTGTGTTTTTGGATTGGAACATTTAATCCATTTATATTTAAGATTATTATTGATAAGTATTCATTTATTGCCATTTTAATTATTTATGCAGTCCCTTTAGCATTTCTTACAGTGCTGATTTTGTGGTGATACATTCCTTTAGCCTTTTTTTTTTTTGGTCTGGGAAGCTCTTTATTTCACCATCTATTTTGAACAATAGCCTTGTTGATACAGTAATATTGGTTTCAGATCCTTGCTTGTCATTACCTTGAAGACTTCATGCCATTCTCTTGTAGTCTGTAGAGCTTCTAATGAGAAATCATCTTATAGCCTTATGGGAGCTCCTTTGTAGGTAACAAATTGCTTTTTGCTTGCTACCTTTAAGATTTTCTCTTTGTCTTTAATTTTTGGCATTTTGATTATGATGTATCTGGGTGTGGGCCTGTTTGGGTTCTTCTTGCTTGGGAGTATCTATGTCTCCTGAACTTTTGTGACATTTTTCTTCACCAGGTTCTGCCATTGTTTCTTCAAACACATTCTCTATTCCTTGCTCATTTTCTTCCATTTCTGGCAGGCCTATTATGTGAATATTGCTAGATTTCATGTTATCCCACAGCTCCCTTAAGCTGTCCTCCTGTTATTAATTGTTTTTTCCTTTTGGTTCTCTGAGTGACTTTTTCTACCCTGTCTTCTAATTCACTGATCCGATCCTCGGTTTCCCCTAATCTGCTGTGTATTTCTTCCACTGTGTTCTTTATTAGTGCTATGCTACTTTTTATAGTTACTGTATCTTATTTCATGCTGTTGAGCATTTTTGCCACCATAATTCTGAACTCTGTGATAAATTTCTTATCTCCATTTCATTTAGCTCTTCCACTAGAGAACTCTATTATTCTTTCATTTGGGGATTTCATTTCAAAGGAATGTATCACCACAAAACCATTTTGGTTGCCTGCTTGGGTTTGTTTCTGTGTAGTAGGTAGATCTGTTACAACTCTCAATTTCTAGTGCAGGACAGTGTCAGATATGGTTTGTGACTGGTCCTTAGAACCCTATTTGGAACTATCAGCAATTCATAGCTTGTGACTCCATCTGCTGGGGCTGGGTGCCTATGGAAAGGACCAAGATGTGCACCAAGGTCTGCTTTTCCTAACTCTGGGCCTGGGATTAGATCAGGCAAAGATTCAAAGCCTCCAGAGATGCAGTTATGCCTGCAGTCCCATTGACACTGAGACTTGATTAGCCTCAGGCTATCACTCATAGGATGAGGCAACTGCCTTCCCCCCAGGCATAAACTGCCTAGGTAGCAAAGGTCCCTGGAGAAATATTTCCTATGTAGCATGAGAGAATGACTCAACAGAGGAAACCAGGGTGGGTGCCCTCCATGCTCTAACCTCAGAGCCCCTATTCCTGGCTTTTGCTTACACAGCTCCAGTCCACTCTGCCCTCCCTCTGCCAGAGCCCAAGGTGAGTGGCTGAACACAAAATTTTGTGCATTGGCCCTTTAAGAGCGTGCCTGCCTTTCCAGCTGTCTCTCACTGGTCAGCAGCAACCCTGCTGCTTTTCACAGCCTGATCTTATGTAGACACCTTTCTTTTTTCTGGTACTCTGGGCTGGGGAATCCTGCTTGGGGTTTAAACACCAGAGTTCTCAGTGGGAACTCCCCACAGGTGAGATATCATTTCAGAACTTCAGCTGCTTTCTTTGGGACCCCAGTAAGCCCTTTCAAACCTCTGCACTTCCTATAAGTCTCTATGCAGTCTCCACTTTCTATTCTAGGTTATCAGAGTTCTCTCCAGCTAGTCTTTCATTGATTTTTCAGGGTGGTTCTCCTGTATTTTAAATTGTATTTCCACTTTGGTCCTGGGAGAGTGTCATTGTAGATTTCACTTACTCTGCCACCATTTTGGAATCCTAGCCAATGCTTTTATAGAAACACACTAGAGGCCAGGTGCATGAAATTCCTGCATGGTGGGGTGTATCTCTCAGCCCGGCCTGCACCCCCTCCAATCTGGGCTATCCCTCTCACAATCCAGGACTGCTACAATAGCTCCCAACTGTGCTTGCCTGCCTGCCTTCCTGACTGCCCCTAGCCGCTTTTGCCTACCAGCCTGATCACCCCCTAGCCACTACCCTGACAGC